TGACAGTGGTCAGTCGGCTGCCTCCCGGGTATCGTGTCTAAGAGGATTTTATTCCTCCTGCATGCTCCTGCTGCTTGTTGCTTGATTGCTTGACCCTTCGGCTGCTTGTCTGCGCGGCTTCGCGCTTGGGCTGGCGATGCCGCGTCTGGGTGCCAGCAGTGCTGGTTCTTTTCGGGCTTGTGTTTTGTGTGTGTTTGTGCAGCTTCTCGCTGTGGACTGTGTGCCTGCCGGTTCAGCTTGTTCCTGCTTTGTTTTGCTTGAGGCACTTTTTACCTTCTGCCAGTAAATCCTAGCAAACCACATCCTCAAGAGGCATCGAGCGCTGAGCAATGATGTCCGCTAGATTCCAGATGAAGCGGAGGGTGTCAGGATGCAGAGTACCGTCGGTCGAGATGGCAAGAGGGATGAACGCTCATGGCATATGCAGCGCGATGTTTGCGAATCTTCTCAGACGCTGCAACATGGAGGGCGTCGAGGTTGCTCCCTCAACTCCTGCTTGCTCCTGCTGCTTGTTGCTTGATTGCTTGACCCTTAGGCTGCTTGTCTGCGCGGCTTCGCGCTTGGGCTGGCGATCCCACAATGGATTTACTGGCAGATGCCGCGTCTGGGTGCCAGCAGTGCTGGTTCTTTTCTGGGTGCCAGCAGTGCTGGTTCTTTTCGGGCTTGTGTTTTGTGTGTGTTTGTGCAGCTTCTCGCTGTGGACTGTGTGCCTGGAGGTTTAGCTTGTTCCTGCTTTGTTTTGCTTGAGGCACTTTTTACCCTCTGCCAGTAAATCCTATACAATTTTCGGGCTTGTGTTTTGTGTGTGTTTGTGCAGCTTCTCGCTGTGTGCTGTGTGCCTGGAGGTTTAGCTTGTTCCTGCTTTGTTTTGCTTGAGGCACTTTTTACCTTCTGCCAGTAAATCCATTGTAGTCAACTTGGTCAGGTCGGCAGAGCTACCAATGTAAGGGTGGACCAACGTCACGTCCGCCATCAAGCCCTCGTACTGCTCAGACCCTAGATCTCGGATCCCAGGGATGTGGATATCACCCTTCATCTTGCGGCCATGAGGATGGGAGGGAAGATTTACTGGCTGGTTCTTTTCGGGCTTGTGTTTTGTGTGTGATTGTGCAGCTTCTCGCTGTGCGCTGTGTGCCAGGAGGTTTCGCTTGTTCCTGCTTTGTTTTGCTTGAGGCACTTTTTACCTTCTGCCAGTAAATCCATCTTCTGGCAGAAGGTAAAAAGAATAGTGGATTTACTGGCAGAAGGTAAAAAGTGCCTCAAAAAGTGCCTCAAGCAAAACAAAGCCGGTCTTGCTTGTTGCTAAAACTCAGATAACCGCCCAGGAGGAGCAGGCATAGGATTTATTGGCAGAAGGTAAAAAGTGCCTCAAGCAAAACAAAGCAGGAACAAGCTGAACCGGCAGGCACACAGTCCACAGCGAGAAGCTGCACAATCACACACAAAACACAAG